GCTGCTGCAGCACGGCTCGCCACACATGGACGGCGTATCCATGGTAACGCAGTGCCCTATTCCGGCACAAACAGCCTTTACTTACAAGTGAGTTATTGCTCTCTTTCTTTCTTTTATTCAGTCTTTCTTTCTTTCTTCCTTCTTTCCTTCATTTTCGTTCTTTCTTTTTCCTCTATTCCTTTCTTTTCTTTCTTTCTTTCTTTCTTTTTTCTTTCTTTTTTTCTTTTTTTTCTTTTTTTCAGTTTTTTCTTTCTTTCTTTTCTTTCTTTTCTTAAAAAAAATATTTCGGCCTCCCTCTACAACTCCACGCACAGTGGCGAGGGGAGAAGCCAACGTCTTTTTCTTGTTTGTCGCATCGACTGTTGCATGGTTGTAATAATAATTATAACAATTATTGTATTGTTTCAGTCTACCGTTGCTCTGAATCCATCCTATCTGTTCCTGTGCCTGTGTCTTCCTTGGAGTTGTTAGATTAATTTTGATCGTTTGTTGTTGTTGTTGTTGTTGTTGTTGTTGTTGTTGTTGTTATTGTTGTTGTGATTTTTGTGAAAGTGTTACACCGCCACGGACACAATTTTGGCTATTCAGAAAACGCGATGCCATGTCCTGCTTAAAACGGCTGTTATTTATTGGTTCATTCATTCATTCATTCATTCATTCATTCATTCATTCATTCATTCATTCATTCATTCAATCATCCATTCATTTATTCATTTATTCATTCATTCATTCATTTATTTTTGTCCATTTTTTAGGCCGTTATTAAAACACAATGTATGCTCTTTCGAAGGCGTATAAATGCCTCGACCTTATGACGCATAGTAGTCAACCTTATAGTTCTACGGTTTGGCTCTCCGCCTTCACACGCAGGAGACCTGAGTTTGAGTCCCATGTATGGATATTTTTTGTCATCAGGTTTTAATCTTTATGGTGGAGCGTCTATGATATACCGGGTAGGCAAAGGTATCGCATGCAGGAGACCAGAGTTCGAATCACGTATGGAGAGAACTTTTATTGAGTAACTTGGTCTTTCAATTAGGACTTTGTATCATTCTAAGCCCGGGTTAGCCTTAACAGGTAGGATGGAAGCCCGCCACATAGTTTAGCTGAACTGTGTCGATGTCGGCGTAAAAATACTTATGTTTATAGTAAGGGAAAGAAAAAATGTTTCTGCGTATAAGAAAAGCGCACGAGCACTGATAGTAAATCTCAGTGCTAACCGTCAAACCACACACACACACGCATACACACACACACACACACA